TGAACACAAATTAGTTAGCATAAACAGTTAAATTAGGTGTCTATTTACTTGTGACCACTCAGTGTACATTTGTTTTTCTAAAATTGTTTAGATCTAGCATTTAGTAACTGGTTCATAATTGGGAATGACATTGGTAAACCATGAAATATTGTTCAATATTTTTTTTAAACTGGATAGCACATGTAACACTCTCAGCTAGAATATTTAGTGAAAGACTAATTATAAACACGACCATTATTCCTCTAAAACTAATCACAGCTATATTTGTTTTTGTTGAATTTTGCGCAAAGCTATTCGGAGCATTCTGCGCTAACTTTCCATAATTTGAAGGAATAGTCTTTTCCAATGAATAGTGGGATTAACTGTCAGAATATAATGCCCCCAGTGGCCGAAAGGATGAGCATGTTCGGCTATAGGGTTCGACTCCGCGACTCGCAGATTGTGGATAGAGCGCTTTAACCATCAGGCCATGCCAAACGAGACAACTATTTGTTTGTTTTATCTCAAAGTCACACAACTGGCTATCTGCGTTCTGGCCACCGTGGAGAATCGAACCCCGCATTTTAGCGTTGTAAGTCCATAAACCTGTCGCTGACCCACTGGGGGACTACAGTTATGATTCAAACATGACCAGGACTAATTACTGTTATATTTGAATACTAGCATAACATACCCACGCTCCGCTGCGGGATTCTAAGGTCTCCTCATAATTCATAGAAGCCTCAATGTACCAGTCAAGCACCTCCGTTATTTTAGTTACTTCTATTTCTACCCCAATGCGCCAATTGATTTGTCTGTTACCATTTCCCGAACTTAATTCAATTAAACTCTTTTTTAAAAGCAAATAGTTTTAATTTAGCTTCTCAGATTCGTTTTTCTTCTTGTTGTGTTTTATTTTAATTATTTTCATTCTCCGAATTATCCTGTATTCTGTAATTCATATTTTTCTTCCCGTTGTTTGTTGCCCTTTCCCAAACTTAGTTCAATTCACCTTTTTTTTTAATTCTCAGATTTGTGTTTTTCTTTCCATGTTTGTGTTGAAAAAGAGTATTTGTTCATTCAGTCAGTGATAATTAGAAAAAACGATACTTTTCTATAGACCTTCAGGAAGCAGAATTATTGGGCTTAAGGGCTATAGGGCAAAAGTTGGCCAAAATATTTTTGAGTCAAACCTAAAAAATAATGCTCAGGTGCACACCCTCAGAATCCTCTTAATTTGCGTGCAAAGTTACTGATCTCTAGGTTCTTTTCTCTTGGAGCTATGGAGGTCACACACACACACAGACAGGCTATTATATTATTGTCCCTCAATGGCACAGCAGTATGTCTGCGTACTTATACCTCTAGAAACCGGATTACTATCCCATGGTGGGCAGTGCACAGATAGCCCTTTGAGTATTATTGTGCTTAATAACCAATAACAACTTTTATTATTATAGATGAACATCAGCCCCCTAGCATTAGAAATAAAACAATTCCAATGAGATATATTTCTTTAACAATTGTTTATAAAGATACTTGAAATTCAGGATACAATTAATATTTTACTCAGTGGTGAATTTTAATTGGAAGACCAACACTAGTAGAAGTCAGACTTTAAAGCCTTATCGTAGTATTGTGTAAAGACGTCTAAATAATCTACTCAAGTACTGCACAATAAGAGTTAAGCCTAATCTATCATTCGATTTACCACTTATCACTGAGTAATAGCGATATAACTCAGCATAGATATAATCTACTCAAGTAACTTATAATGTTGTAGTACTGATATAATCCCTATATAAATATAGTGTTAGTAAAAGACATTTCAAAACAGCATATATGTAATCTACTCAAGTAATGTATAATGTTGTAGTACTGATATGGTATTACTGTGTTTTTTTTGTTTTTTTTTACTCATGGTCACACTATGTACCATGTTTTTATTAACTTATACTATAGAACGTATTTAAGGAAGCACAAAAGTTAAATAATCAGCTAAATTATTTGCAAGTTCTTGAAAGCATGGAAGTTTTATTACGAAGGGATTTCTCAGCTAACATTATAGTTAATTACATGTTCATGCTGCTTATCAGCAAGTTACCCATTGATCCATACTTAGTAAATATTGTACTTATGGAAGTTTTATTACGAAGGGATTTCTCAACAAACATTATTGTTAATTACATGTTCATATTGCTTATCAGCAAGTTACCCATTGATCCATACTAAGTAAATATTGTACTTATGGAAGTTTTATTACGAAGGAATTTCTCAACTAACATTATAGTTAATTACATGTTCATATTGCTTATCAGCAAGTCACCCATTGATCCATACTTAGTAAATATTGTACTTATGGAAGTTTTATTACGAAGGGATTTCTCAACTAACATTATAGTTAATTACATGTTCATATTGCTTATCAGCAAGTCACCCATTATCCATACTTAGTAAATATTGTACTTATGGAAGTTTTATTACGAAGGGATTTCTCAACTAACATTATTGTTAATTACATGTTGATGTTGCTTATCAGCAAGTCACCCATTGATCCATACTTAGTAACTACTGTACTTATAGAAGTTTTATTACGAGGGAATTTCTCATCAAACATTATATTTAATTACATGTTCATGTTGCTTATCAGCAAGTTACCCATTGATCCATACTTAGTAAATATTGTACTTTCTATTGATAACAATATTTCTAAGCTTGTTCAACTTGCTAAGCTACAAAAGTGTTACGTATAGAGATACGAAATTATAAGTCTGATAATTTTCTGGAAAGCTGAATAATGATACTACAGTTTAACAGCGACCTGCATTATTCTACGCAGCTTTTAAACAAGTCTTACATCAACATATGCTGTTTATTCAGCAGTGTAGCCACTTCCTGCCTGGTATATGGTAATCAAGAAAAACGTGTCGAACAAATTCTTATAACACCTCCGCTGACAAGGCTGAAAGCTTCCGATGTGGGTTTACAGTAACACATTATACTACATGGAATTCAACAATATAAGCGTTATTTCATTCCGATCCCGGGGGGACCTGGGGGCCGGTAGAGAGGTACGCCCTCTCGTTAGTAACATGGAATTGTGAAATCACCAACCTTAATGATACACTATTTTAAAATCGAAATGGTGTTTTTAAGTGTTTTACACTCACAAAAA